AAAAACTTAGAACTTTGCATTCATCTAGAGAGTTGCTCAAACTTAATTTTTATGTACTTACACATGAGTGTTACGGTGAAACGGTAGAATAGATAGAACGTGACTGATAAAAATAAATTGCAAATTTTTCATGTGAGTTGTTAACTGAACCTAATACAACTACCTCAAGGTACCTGTATAAATTGAAATATGTTACATTGCTCTTCGATAGATGTCGCTGTGCCGTTTTGCTAAATCGCGTTATGGTTTCGTTACCGCAATCAACATAAATTGATTTGATTTCTTTGTATTGAACGAACATCCTTTTACCTATTGTGTACAGTGTTACCTAGTGATTAATAAAACTAGTTGTAAAGAGTCAGTGGTTTTAATTAAGGCTCCTGGGGATCCATTTGTACATGGTCCTTCTCAGCCGGATACAGTGCGCGGTAGTGTCGACGCGTGCAATTTTTAGTGCTTCACCAGCATAGAAATCAGAGTGGATCGCTCTGAAGTGCTGCCGCCGCTTAACGCCACGAAGAGGCCTCAGCGACGTATTCCGTCAACAGCAGTGGGCGCCACGGGTGTGGAGTCTCTTGGCTGTCAGCAGCGTGTTGAAAGCGCATTATACAGCGGAGTGTCATTGGAGCGGACAATACAGGCGAATAATAGCGGTGGTGTGGAGGAGTTACAAGCGCCCCCTATCGGAGAAATTAAGAAGTATTGTAAATTTGGAGTAAGTGAGTGACGCATTCAAGCAAAAACTTCTAACTTCAACATGGAAGCATTAATAAAGTTGCAAAATGATGCAAAGAATTCCATTGAGAAGGGCAGAGTAAATTATAAAAAATCACCTAAAGAACGTCTAACACCTTCGTTCCTGGAGACCAGATTGGAAACTTTGGAACAACAATGGAAGTCTTTTGTAGAAACACATAGAAAGATAGTAGAACTTGCAAAAGATAATGAACATAATTATTTTAAAGCAGATACATACGATAGCACCGAAGAAAGTTATATTTTATACAAATCAGAGTTGAGAGAACACATTTCAAAACTTGCAAAGCCGACTAAGGGTTCAGATAAGCAACCGGTAATAAAGATGTATAATAATGTTAAATTACCTAAAGTCGTTATTCCAATGTTTTCGGGAAAATATACAGAATGGATATCATTTCGTGATCTATTTTTATCGCTAATTCACAACAACGATGCAATTGATGATGTACAGAAGTTACATTATTTAAAAGGTCATTTGGCGGGTGAGGCAGAACAATTGTTGCGCCACACTCCAGTCACAGCTGCCAATTACCAGGAATGCTGGCAGTTGCTAACTAAGCGTTATGACAACAAGCGGTATTTGTGTAACGCTATGTTAAAGAGATTAATAAATCAATCGAATATTTTGGAATCAGCAGGCGCTATTAAGGAACTCTTGGACACAACTGTAGACTGCATAAATGGCCTATCCACTATTGGTGTTGGCGTTGACTCTTGGGATGTTATAATAATATACTTAATCAGCGAAAAATTAGATAGCGAGTCACGAAAATTATGGGAGTCAACGGTTGGTACCTGTGAGGAATTACCAACATTTGACAAATTTAAAACGTTTCTAGAGTCTCGATTTCGGTCATTAGAGTACTTGGATACACAGAGTGGTAGACAAAGGTCAAGTTACAAACCAAGAGTTCTTCATGCGGTTGCTTCCAAAAACGATACCCCTATTAAAGCAAGCTGTCCATTCTGTAAACAACCCCACAAACTTAGTCACTGTAAACAGTTTTGTAAAAATGACTATAAAACACGTAGTGATTTCGTTCGAACTAGTGGCTTATGCTTTAATTGTTTAAGGTCGAATCATTCTATTAAGTTTTGTCGTGTCCCCACCACTTGTCAGATTTGCAATCGCAAACACCACTCTTTATTACACCCTAAGGAATCCTCAGGATCAACGTCGTCTAGAGGCATTGCAGAGACGACGTCAGTAGTCAAGTCGGCAGTAGCTACATCGAGTACTGCTTCCGATGCGGTGCAGGAATTAAATGCTGCCGCTATAACCACTCACTTTAGTAAGAAGGCTGTTCCAAATCAGGTCTTATTAGCAACCGCTCTTGTCGAAGCACAGACAGGCAACGGATACAACCACCTGCTGAGGGCGTTATTGGATCAAGGATCCCAGACGTCGTTCATAACCGAATCAGCAGTTCAGTTACTTGGACTCAAAAAGACACCCGCAAGAGGTGTCATTTCAGGCATAGGAGGTGACGGTGGAGCTATGGTCTCCAAGTTTATCGTTTTCGTAACTATTAAATCACGTCACGATCCTAATTTTCACATCCAAGTTCAGGCATATGTTTTGGGCAATATTACATCGTTACTTCCAGGTGATAAAGTATTAGTACCAACGTGGCATCAACTAGAAGAAATAGTTTTAGCAGATCCAGAGTACCACAATCCAAACAAAATCGATATTTTGCTTGGAGCTGAAGTTTATGGCCAGGTACTCAAAGAGGGTTTAATCAAGCACCCTCTTGGACCCTTGATAGCACAAAATACACGGTTAGGTTGGATTTTGTCTGGTCGAACACACAGAGATTCGAATTTGGATTCAGCACATTGTCACCCGGCATTGGTAAGCATGCATTCGCAGATCAGTGACAATGAAATGCTTAAAAGATTTTGGGAAATCGAATCTGACGCATACAGTAAGAAGAAAATACTTACCCAGGAAGAGCAGTTATGCGAAGACTTCTTCAAGCAAACCACTCAACGAGACAGCACTGGTCGGTATGTTGTCAGTTTACCATTTAGAGACTCAGACCCACAGTGCAAATACGGCCATACCAGAGACATTGCGCTTCGACGATTTCACCTTCTTGAACGTCGTTTTAAGAAGGATCCAGAGATGAAACAGAAGTATACTGAGGTCATTCAAGAATACCTCGACCTTGGTCACATAGAAGTAATCAATCCCGTAACGGACACTCAGAGAACGGAGGCTGTGTACTTACCTCACCACGCCGTAGTTCGGGAGGATAAAACGACGACCAAGGTCCGAGTTGTGGCGTATTGCAGAAGATTTTTTAAAATAAATAGGAAAGGACACACTTACCTGACCAGCGAGGAATTAGATGAGGCCCTGGAAATTTGTATTAGAGATTTTCAACGGCAATCATTTAGTGAAGACATAGACGATGTTAAGAGATCAGGAAGAGTTAAGACTAAAAGCAAATTAAAGGCACTATGTCCCATACTGGATTCACGAGGAATACTGCGAGTAGGAGGAAGAATAGAACATGCTCAACTCTCTGAAAGCATGAGACACCCCATTATTATTCCTCAACATAGTCACCTAGCTGGCCTGCTTGTTGATGAAGCCCATAGAAAAACACTTCATGGAGGACCCACTCTAATGTTGAATTACTTGCGCTCGAAATACTGGATAATCTCGGCAAAAGGCACAGTCAAATCATTTGCACGTAGATGTGTAACTTGTCTCCGACACTCAGCTAAATTTAAAAACCAATTCATGGGACAATTACCCTTGTGCAGAGTTACACCAGCCAGAGCATTTGTACACAGTGGAGTGGACTTCGCAGGTCCAATCAATATCAGAGTGTCCAAAGGTCGCGGCAACAAGTCCTATAAGGGATACATATCTTTGTTTGTATGTATGGTTACGAGAGCGGTGCACTTGGAGGTCGTAAGCGATCTCACGTCACAATCTTTTATTGCAGCGTTTAAAAGATTCATTGCCAGACGAGGTCACTGCAGTGACCTTTGGAGTGACAACGGAAAGAATTTTGTAGGTGCTTCCAAGGAGTTACGCTGCCTAGTAAATGCGGAACAGTCATTGGTCGCTGATGAAATTAGGGATTGGCTCAGCTCCAACAGTGTTAAGTGGCATTTTATACCACCGCACGCTCCAAATTTTGGTGGTCTTTGGGAGGCATGCATTAAATCAACTAAATATCACATGAAGAGAGTCATTGGCGACTCCACTCTCACCTACGAGGAGCTGTCTACTCTTCTGGTCCAAATTGAGGCGTGTCTCAATTCTAGACCAATTTCTCAAATTTCGCAAAATTCAGAAGACCAAATGCCCCTTACACCTGGTCACTTTTTGATAGGAGAGCCGTTGATTCTTGCACCGGATCGTAACTATGAACACTCTAATGTAGGCACACTGAAAAGATGGCAGTTGCTTCAAAAAATGACACAAGACTTCTGGCGACGTTGGTCTCAGGAATATCTGACCCAAATGTTGCACCGTTATAAGTGGTCCCAAAGGGAACCTGAACCAAAGATAGGTGATGTGGTTCTGATCAAGGAAGACAATCTGCCTCCTGGTAGGTGGTTGCTCGGTAGGGTTTTATTAAAACACCCGGGTTCGGACGGAATCACTAGAGTCGTAACTTTGAAATGCAAGGATTCTGTTTTTAAACGGCCAACAAATAAATTGTGTGTTTTGCCAATAGCAGATTGATAATCTAGTTGTAAGTTTCAGTAGTATAGCTTGTAGTCGTAAGTCTTACCACATATCCCCCTTGACCTCATGGTGGGCGGAATTCATTAGTTTTGTTTACCAATCCCCTTTACCTCATGGTGGGCGGAATCAGTTATTTTACATTATTAAGGACATAGTTTTATTAATATGTCCTTGGTGGGCGGAATGTATAAATTGAAATATGTTACATTGCTCTTCGATAGATGTCGCTGTGCCGTTTTGCTAAATCGCGTTATGGTTTCGTTACCGCAATCAACATAAATTGATTTGATTTCTTTGTATTGAACGAACATCCTTTTACCTATTGTGTACAGTGTTACCTAGTGATTAATAAAACTAGTTGTAAAGAGTCAGTGGTTTTAATTAAGGCTCCTGGGGATCCATTTGTACAGTACCTTTCTCATTATTATATTCATATGCATATAATAATGAGAAGCATGTATATACATGCACAAGATGCATTACATTATATGGTAACCGATTTTCTTTTATTACTAAACAAATTTTTATCTTATGTAGAACGTTCGTAGCGGCGCGCTAGAGGCGTGGAGCGCAAGCCGCTGTGCGCGCACGCAGGTTTGGCCCGCAGCATGCGGTTGCCCGGGGTCGGGTGTCGTATTTCTAGAGCATTGAACCTCTGCAACCTTGTGCGTTGAGCCCGACCGCTCTCCGCACACTGACGCAACCGCTCCAGCCCCTTCTCTACTTCGACCGCAACCATATCGCATAATTACTCCTTTAGGGCACACCTGTGCTTAACAACGGATACAATGGACGATTTGATGTTAGCGCTAATCGATTCATGAAAGGTTGAACTTAATTGGAGGTTGTTTAACATTGCACAATGTATAAAGAATAATTCAGCTACCTTTCAAATAAATATATACTTGAATTACCTATTGTAATTCTGCCAATTATTTTCGTAATATGTAATATGTTAAAGATTGTTGGCGCTCTGGATTCAGCACTAATGAAGTTAACACGTTGCGAACCACTCGGTGTTGAAGAACAATACTGCGAGTCGGTCAAGAGGTGTGAGGTGCGAGAACAGAGCGCTAACGAACCGTCGCCGTCCGCAAATAGTCCGCGAGAAGTGCGAAACGGTCGCGGGGCTACAATTGGCGTCTGCCCCGAGAACGTTGCGAGGTGAATCTTACGTAAACTGCTGACATAAGCGAGTCGACGACCGCTGCTTGCGCAACCATCACCGAACCTGAAACCCCACGCACCGCGCCTCACCCTCACCACAGCAACTCTCCCACCACCCGCCGAAATTACCTAATTGTACCCAAAATGCATCAAAAGGACACTGGTCCAACGGCCGAGTTACGAAATCGGCAATCATTAGTGCAATAACCTTCTGCTTAGGCAGGTGACGGACAAAGTTTAAACGTTTGGTGCGGTACGCGATCGTTTAACTATTTAATAACGGGATCTGAAATATCAGTATATATACTACACAGCTATTTTTATTGCCTATGGAGTTGAATGTTGTTCATTTACAGTTATATAAACCTAGGTCAATGTAAATTGTGTTCACGTTCTAAACTTACAAATTTGATTGTCAACGTGCCCATGGGAAATAAAAAAATATTGCTTCAATATTTAAAGTATTAAAACAGCTGGTATTAGTTACGCAGAATGTCCAATTGGAGCCAAATTGGCCTAGGTTATAGCAATCTCTCAAAGTTCAATGAACTCAATATTGAAATTTAAAATCTGCATGCAGAAAACATAGGCGAACGTAATGCGACATCTTGGGAAGTAGTTGTCGGGCCATTTGTGTAGGTATTTGCAGGTAAGGTGTTCAAAATGATGGTATTGCGTATTCTCTGCAGGTCTAAGGAACCGAATGGGCAACATAATTGTGAGCATGTACGTGACGTATATGGTACAGTTATCCTTAGTGAACGAAAGTGAAAACTAAATGCAGAGTCAGTCAACGACCCCGCGGTGGGTCGTCGACCGCGCCGAACTGCAAAGGCCGTTTGTGAGTGCTGAGGCCGCGCGCGCGACATTTAGCCGTGCACTGGACGCGCCCGCGCATGTATTGCACACCGTAACTATAATGAGATCATATTAATTTGATAATCAAGAAAGTATTTTAAAAAGTAAAAGTTATAGTCATAATAAAATAGCGATTTTATGTTTAGAATTATGTTGCTTGGCAACGTGGATCATGGTTAGTTATACCGGGTTCCGTTACTAGGTTAAAGAAGTTGAAATAATAATAATGGGCGTATACTGTTTTTTGTATCACTTCTGACTGTTTACAAACAATAGACAACAGTTCGCATGGAAACAATAATGATGCTATGTGCGGCAATCTGTTTCAACGCCTGTACAGTTTTACAGTTTTAGGCAAATATCTGCCTCTTTGCTACGGTATTTAGTCATTATAGGAAGTATAGAAGAAAAGATGAAACGCACTTTATGTAATGTAAATATATATTACATTTATCACTGATTGATGATATAAGGTATAAAGATTACTTTGCCAATTGCCTTTACATTACATTACATTACTTTGATAAATGAGCCAAGTACTCGTAGTTGTAAGTGTAAGAGAAAGCTCTTACACTTACAATTATTTGGCTCATTTATTTTCATTCGCAGTTTCTATTTTGACTTACTCTGTGAATTCAGTATCTTACGTCAATAGTGGTTAGTCTACTTTAGACTTATCCTAGTGTATAACGTTTATTTTCTGGCAGTATTATACTGACCCCAATGGATAACCACGCTTTCTGAATTTCGAGTCATACCTACACATAGGCGTGTATCGAGTAGTTTAAAAAAATCTTGTAATGCTCTTCAGTACCTTCGTATTTGGTATGATATAGTATTTCATAACATATTTGGCCCTTGTATAGAATACAATATGATAAAATAACAATTTGCATACCAAACGAGAATTAATATTAACTCGTTTGAAGTGAACTTTGATGTTTAAGCATCGAGGTATTGTGTCATCAATAACTTTCGAGTTTATGTCTAAATAATGGGAATTAATATATATATATAAAAAAAAATAGAATCAAAAATTTGTTTGTATAAAATTTTAATAATTGAATTGAATGGTTGTGAAGCAATGTCTCGAAATCTTGAAAGCGCCTACGAACTACGCGCCTACGGCCTACGAAAGTACATAGCGACATTTTTTCCTATATCTTTGTGAATTGGTACAGTACATCAGATGAATATAAATGGGAAACAATTTATATTATGATAAAAGCTGTCGTAAGCATACATTCGGTGCTAACATTATAAAAACAGGAAAGCGAATGTAGAAGAAAGAAATAATATATGGTATCGGTATCGTAGTAGAAAGGTAATGATTTTTTTCGCCGGATGGCGTAGTGGTTTGTGTAACGCGGGTTCGATTCCCGCTCAAATCAAACATTAGTGTGCATGAACATTTAATGTCTGATTTGGTCTGGGTGTTTCTATGTATAATATGTATGTTTTTACAAAAAAAAGAAGTAAATATATATTTATATCAGTTGTCTTGTACCCATAGTACGAGCTCTGCTTAGTTTGGGACTAGATGGCGTTGTGTGAATGTGGTAGAATATTATTATATTAATATTATTATTTTCTGGTGCATTTAAAATCTCCTACAGCTTAACCGACGCTGGTATTTATTTGCCTCATTGAGTATATATTATTCCAATTACTTTTTTGACGGTTGTCACGCGTTCTAGTACTGACAATTGATCTTTTCCAAATCTAAATTAAAGGATTATCATATCAAATTTAGTTTTATTTATATAAGTCGACTAAAGCCATGGATTGAAATGACAAAAAAAATACAGACATGAGATTATGTTATATTGCTTTAGATAATAAAATCTTAATACCAGTTCTATTGAAAGATTTTGCACATACATTTTTACAGCGAATAATAAAATTGCACACGTAAGCAACAACAGTGAACGGGTGTTATCGGTCACTATTGTTTTTACAAGCGATGCACTCAGTACAAATGAGTGTTATTCTGTCACTATCAAGTACAATTAACACTTTGGCCAGGGCGAAAGTAGTGACTTTGGGTTTTGTCGTAGAGCGGGCGGCTCGCGACGCTATGTGGGCATGTAGTCGTCACAACTAGGCCGCGTTTCCACCAAACGGGTCTTGACTTTTTGTTCGTGATGATGCGGAACAGAAGAGAGAAATTCGGTGAGATAAAGCAGCACTCGCTAAGGAGGACACGGTCACGAGGAGTCATCGGCTCCAAACTCGACGAATGTGGAGCAAGCGATGTTTCTCCTTAGGCCACGGCGCAACCTGTCCGCTGAGCGCCATAATCGCCCTGGGCCAAAATATGCCGCGTATTACTATAAATATTAGTAGTAAAGCCTACATTTCAACATTGCACCTCATTTTTTAATAGCACTATTTTTGCATCTCCATCATTGTCATTTTTTTCAGTTCTAAGGTATAGAATTAGTTCTGTAAAAGTAACTTTCTAGACAGTTTTTGCTAACTGCAATTAAGATGTTTGATTTTTTTTTTATAAAAGTACGTATTTCTTAACAAAGTTCCCGTTGAATATACTACTCACTACAAACATTAAGATTTAGATACGCCTAAACGGTATCAATTAAAAAACAACGAGCAACTTTCTTTTGTGATGGCCTTATAGATGCACGACAAAGGCATTGTTTGCTCAAAAAGGTAAAAATTCCAATAATATTTTGGAAAGCACAGCGAGTCCTTATGTAAGAGTTCAACGTGACACTTTAAGCGAAGCGAGTGCGTCCGTTCAGCGCGCCACTTTCCTTCGCTCTCAATATTTGGATAGTTGGAAAACTATGCCTACTCGATCTCATCTACAATAACATCCGTTCTTTTAGCAAGTTTGTGATGTATCATAGTGACGCGGCGTTAACGGTGTGGTCGTACATACATTTATTTTTATGATTACGAACACATGGAAAAATGAAATATATTTATGACTTTGTTATAAATATATTTCATTTGGGGTTATTTTAGTGGATCTAAGGGTGCGTGTAAGAAGTTTTTGACAGAGGTGACTTGGTTTAGCAATAAGATCCTTTGTGCATCAGTTCTGTGTATGTTATGTATAATGTCGGATATACATTACATGTAATGGAACATTTATATATGATATGTATTTATATATGCTAATATTATAAGCTAAGAGTTTGTTTCTTTGTTCATTTGCCTGAATGCGCTAATCTCAGAACTTGCAGGTTTAAATCAAAATGTTTTTTGGTGTTCAATAGCATGTTTATGTAGGAAAGCTCATAAGATCACAACCGCGCATCAATGTAAAAGACGAATAGACGAAGACGAAGGAGGTCGTGCGGGTCAATTAGTGTAGAATAAACAAGCGGTAACAGGACTGACTTTCAATCAGTATAGTCAGGTAGGCAGTCGACATGATGTCACATTTTGCATTTTAATACTTAACAATAAACTCGTAGAAAGATACGTCCAAGAAACACAAATCCAGTGACTTTATGGGCGTATTTATAAGTCTATATTTCTATGTACATAAATATAAATTTTTTCTGAATTTAATTAATAATAATATAATAATATTCTGCCACAATCACATAACGCCATCTAGTCCCAAACTAAGCAGATCTTGTACTATGGCTACAAGACAAGTGATATAAATACATATATACTATTTTTGTAAATACGGGTACATACTTTTAAACATAGAAACACTCAGACCAAATCAAACATTAAATGTTCATGCACACAAATGTTTGATTTAAGCGGGAATCGTACCCGCGACCTTTGGAATAGCAGTCTGTTACACAAACCACTGAGCCATCCGGTCGTTTTACAATTTAAAAACTTTACAAAATAAGTCGCACAAAAAAGACTAAGTTGTGTATTATTTCTACATAAACTAGTTAGTATCGCTGTTGGCTCCGCAGGCGTTGTCTTGATATTCGTATTTATCAATAATGTAGATCTAGAATATTATAAATTACGAAATTTTCTTTTAAACATAAAAATAACATAGTATAACTGCTAAACAATCGAATGATAATATGAATAATATTTAACATAGATAAATGGTTATATAGTTATGTACCATATATTGCTAGTAACTATATAAATAATCTACTGAATCCGAATACGCTTGGCTTCTTACGCAAAAGTGTAAAG